CTTCAAGCCAGTTGATGGAAACACGTCTGATTCGCATTTCTTCGTTTTTTTTTTTTTTCCTTTTTGCGGAAATTTTAAAAATTTGCTCAAAATTGGAGTTAAAATTGGATGGAAACACGGCTGTTGTTCAGGAAGAGAAGTTGTTGGTCATCAGCTTACATGACCTTTTTATGGAGGCTCATTGGTTGGTTTCGGCTTTTGTTTGGCTAACCATTAACACAGGCTGAAGAGCAGCATTCAAATACTTATGGTGTGCTCAAAGAGTTATAGGCATTAAAACGGAAGATGTTAAATATAGATTTCCCTGTAATTTATGACGATTTGAAATACTTTGAGCAATAACATTGCAGCCAGTACCATTGTGTTTGTTTAAAAAATATTCACTTCTTATATTTTTCTTTTTTTTTTTCTTTTAAAGTGTTACATCGAGCTTCATGATGTCCAGCATAAAATGGGATCATTTTTATTTTTATTTTGCAACAAGATATAACTGTGGAACAGATGTTCTTGGTTTGAAGAAAGGAGACAGGGCCAGGTGGTGCTAATTAAAACAGCCATCTTCTATCCTCTGCTCTGAGGACAGCCCTGTCCTGTTATTTGAGAAATGAGAAATGGCGTGGGACTTACACATCAGCGACCTGCTGCTTGTCAGCAAAATTATAAAGGAAGCTTTTYAACCTGAGCTTATTCTGAACAAGGGATGGCGCTTGCTAACATTTTTGTTTTCTGTCAAAATGAACAGGTTTATRTGTGATCACAGCCTGAAGACTAGCTCATCTTTTTTTTTTCTTCTCGTCATCTAGTTTCTCCTTCTTTCTCTTAGGCAAGGCTGTGTTCCTGGCACGGGATAAACACCACCTGACAGACCTGTGTCACCTGATCCGCCATGATACCCCCTACCTGTTTCAGGAGTATGTCAAGGAGTCGCATGGTCGTGACGTACGGGTGGTCCTGGTGGGCGGCCGTGTCATCGGCTCCATGCTACGCTGCTCCACCGATGGCCGCATGCAGAGCAACTGCTCCCTGGGTAGGTAGATGGCTTATTTACTAAACATGCCAGTTAAGATTTAAGTGGGTGGGCTTTTTATCAGCTATTTATTTGAAGTGTATAATAAGATTTGAGTTTTTTWAAAATATATATATTTGCCGTCAAGTATAATTTACCTGCTCCACCTGTTTTGAAGTGCGGTTCAGAATCAAATCTGTGTTGAATTCCCTCCTAAGACTTCAAGTGACAGCATTTCAGTTGATGAGTCTGATCTTTAGTGTCAGGGCATCAGCAGGTTTTGGTGCCGCTGAGGTTATAATGCTCTCTGACATATTTAGGTCATCACTCATCAGACTAATCTGACTCCATGTAACAGCTCATGTTTACACTTCTTTTTAATTTAATTGGATATGAAATGCCTTTTTTTTAAATCCTATAATGTTTTCTACCATAGTAATCTATTTTTTTGTGATTTCTTTTGAGAGATTCAACATCATTATAAGGATGTAAATATTCTGACTCATAGAGAGTTGTAGATATTAACCAGCTCGTTGTGTTTCTGAATTGTTAGGTGGTGTGGGTATGATGTGCCCCCTAAGTGAGCAGGGCAAGCAGCTGGCCATCGAGGTGTCGAACATCCTGGGCATGGATGTGTGTGGAGTTGACCTCCTGCAGCTAAACGACGGCTCGTTCGTGGTTTGTGAGGCCAATGCCAACGTGGGCTTCATCGCCTTCGACCAGGCGTGTGGCATCGATGTAGCGGGGATCATAGCCGACTTTGCCTTGTCAATGCTCCCCAGCCGCCTCACGCGTAAAATGTCTCTCCTGTCCGTCGTGTCCAGCGCCAGCGAGACCTGCAGCGAGCCCGAGGTGTGTATCGTGCCCTCTGGTGGCGGCTCGCTGCCCGAAGCCGTCTGCAATATGAGCGTAGGATCTACTTCCAGTGAGAGTGACCCAGAGCTGGCGGAGCCCTCGCAGTCGTCACCCCGTCACTCCATTACCCCCGCCCTGCCCGATCTCCCCGATGCAACCTACAACTTCAACACCCTGCTGGCCAATGAGTTCAAACTATTGACTGAGTGAGGTTCCTRCAAGATCACGCTCACACAAACACCACAGCTGCACGCATACTTAACACCTATAGAAACATTCCTCGCATATCAGTCTGAAACAGATCAATATAAAATGTTATTTGCAAAACAAGAGCTGAGAGAAACACAATACACATATTAACACACTGCAGAAACAAACATCTAAACACGAGCCTTCTCTTTGAGAGAAAACGATCTGAGGCTGCTCCCCTGACGTTTTTTTGTTTTGTTTTGTTTTTTACATTTTGGWAAAAGAAAACTCCTAATGCCACAAAAGTGTGGTGTATGTGTAAACTCTGTATATTCTATCCATTTAACTTGATTGGATACAGCATATAACATATCCTCTGAAAACTGGCCTTTCCTGGTATGTATRTGACATATTTGGAAAGTTAAGACAGTATGAAGGTTGCGTCATCACTAAAAACAAAATATACCTCATAACAGCAATGTCTTACTGCCATTGGACGTTACAAACATTCAGACATACAACACATATCAGCCTAGACCCTTGTTGTTTTTAAATAACACCTCACACTTGTGGTGTTTCTTCCCTTAATGTCTAGGACCTACAAATATAACTGTGTATTTTTTTTTTTATGTTTCATTCAATTGTTTTGTTTTGTATATATTACAGGTAGCAAAATGAGTTTCACAGCATTCTAGTATCCAGTCAGTAAAACGAGAACGGCTAAAAAAAAAAAAAACTGCCATTACAATTTTCTACGAGCTGCTGTGCACAAATTAGATTGCATGGATAATAAAAAGTGAAAGTGAAAATGTGGTGCTGACGGTTGTGGATATGGTTAGACATGATTTTACCATCATATTACTTCTAGATTTTTTTTTATTGTTTTCATGTTTTTATTTTGTTTTTGAAACAATTAGACATCCCACAAAATGTGTTGGCCTGTTGTGCAAAAAATAATATTTTGTACAGTCTTTTTTTGGGTAGATTTTTTTTAATAGGAAGAAGAGAAAATTCAAGGTTTTTAGATAAAGAGAATTTATTGTTTACTTTTTTCTTTGGGATTTTGTATAACTTATGAAATAAACAACAAAATCAAAACATTAGCTGCAGTATTGTCCATTTTTTAACAATAACTTCCAACTTTGTTCAAAAGCACAAATATAAACCTGAAACGGTCCACTTTGTGACATTCTTGTTAGGTTTGTTACCSTTTTTGTTGAAGACAGCTCAGGGAAGCAGCCTGGATCTCAGCCCTGATTAAGGCATAAAATATCCATCAGAGCTAGAGACATGTCAAATACACAACACAAGCTTACACATCGACAAAGAAAAAAAACAACAACAATGAAAAAAGGTTGTCAACTACAGTATGTGGTGTATACCATGGTTAACATGCACTTTTTTCCTTGCTTGTTTCATATTTTTTGTTTTTGTCCTAATTTATGAGGTTTTTAATTTTTTTGAGGAAAGAAAAAGTGGTTTGTGTGCACTAATATTATCTCAATAAAGTGAAACCTCTGTGAAGCTTCATTTTTATCCCCCTTCGTTGTGGGCCAAATTTCCTGTCTGGAATCTTACCAGGGCCCTGCTGGAGGGTACCGCTTCAACATTCGCCAGCCATCGGAGAAGGGCGGCTTTGATTTTAAAGTCGGCTGTGAAGCGGTCACAGCAGCTCCACACACTACAGCTGTGATGTTGTCTGGTATCTATATTATCCACAAATATTTAAAAAAAAACTGTGAAATCTCTAAATGGACAGTGATCTTGATCGTCAAGTCACACCTTGAACACTTTAAATGAGTAAACTAGCTCCAGTGGTTGTCCCTGTCTAGTCGTTGACTTCAAGTCATGCCACCTCGTTTACAAWAACACATCTTTCAAGACACAAACAGTCTTACAGTCCCTGTTATTTGATTATATTATTTATAAAAGCTGACAGTACACAGCTTACCTAACCTGTGTGGTTGTCTGATTTTCTTGGGAGACATTGATAAAAAGAACAGATTTAGGGTTTCTATTGAGTCCTAATTCATCTTTAGAGATCAGCTGTTATGATGAAATGGATCGCTACTGAACGGAACAGGGAGTTTTATGACTGAAATATTATTAATGTAATGGCATGAGTGGGATCAAGCGAGCCTGAAACAAACTTGTAGATAAGACACTGCTCAGGCACAGTGCACRTTTTAATTTCCATTCTGCTGCTACTGAATATTTGGCCATAAAGTAAAAAAAAAAAAGGGAATTAAATAGTGATAATCCAAGTATTTCCATGTTTTGCTGACTGTCAAGGAAAAGTACAGTAATGCCAAAAACACTCTTTGTTGTATAATTCAGTCCGTTTAACACTAGAAGTGTAATGGTTTTTAAAAAATGACTGCTTTGACAAAAAAAAATATTGCTTCAGAATTGTATATATATAAAGATTTCACAGCAATTGTCAGGTTAATTTAATGTATGATTTAAATCAAGCCTGTGCTTTGCTAAAAACAAAAAGATTGCTATATACTTTTATTTGCAGGAGAAAGATGTAATGATTTTGCTTATGTGACAAACTGCAGCTCTTTAGGAAATGTGTGAGTGTGTTGAATTGAATAACAGGTTCTGGACTGTTAGAGGCTAAATGTTACTCCCCTGGGCCATATTTTCTGTTTTTCTCTGTCTGACATTGTTAAAAATTGATCCCAAAATGGTTATTCACCAATGTTCAAAATGATGTAAATATACATTCCCCTTTTTTTTTAGATTAAAATAAAGTCATTATTCAAACTGATGAAACTGTGCCAAGTCATTCTTTTACTGTATTTCTCAAATATAGTCTCAATTTAAAAAAAAAAGGTGTAATTGCATTATATCATTACATAAAAGTGTTTTGTCTGCAATTTAGTTTCTGTACTCACATGAGTGAGTCATTTCAAGTCTTTATTAGCCGATAAAGCAGATCTCTGAGCAACAAGAGGAGGCGGGGTGAGTGTGTTGGTTAGTCAGAACCGGGCTGTTGATCCATCTCAGACTGCACCAGCTGCAGCAGGCTCCGGATTGACTCTGTCAGGTCATGATCTGGCATCAGCTGGCTGGTCTGCAGGGCCGTGCGGCCAAATCCCAGYGCCTGGCACAGAAACAAACACAAGCGTCGCAGCTGTCAGACTCTCAGGGGAGAATAAAAGCTGATTTGTGTAATGATGTCACTGAAATTAGACTGCAACCCAATTCACTTCATTTAACCCACCCTTGTGACATCTTGGATTGTTACACCGTCCACTGTTCTCCAACAAAGTCCAATTTAGAGAATTGAATATGTTAAGAGTTATTTAAAGGTCTGTRGGGTTACAAACTACAAATTCACAAAGATTAGGAACAAATCAAGTCTGCAAAGTAACAAAAAGAGTACAGCTAAAATGTTAACCTGTCTTTTCATCATGTCTGCTGGCAGACACGTGGTACCAAGATTTCTGGTTTGCTCTGTSTGGGACAGGATTAACATGAAAATGATTTCTGAATATTATCAGTGAATCCTTAATGAAAATGCATCATCTTTTTTATAAAATACAGCACGTTTCTGAAAAACGTATGCATGTAATAATAAAGGCTGAGGCTGCTGCTGTTGAACAGTCCTATCAGTATTTTCGCTCCAACAGGATTGTGGCAGAACTTTGGAACAAGCTGAATGGATTGCCTGTCAATATTTTAGAGTCAAAGCTGCTTTTTGGTTGTTATTGCTGGGTAGGAGTTTTGTGTCAGATTAAAATTTGAATTTATTTATTTATTTTCCCTACTTTGGCGCTCGACATGGCTGGTGTAGCTCTTGGTAAAAACAAAAGAATTCCCAGAGCCCTAACAACCATAACATTACAAAACAGAGATATAACCTTTAATAACTAGTTGTGCTGCCAGATCTGCTTAATTGTGTTCACTCACAGATTGTCCATCTTTTTTSTTAGTCAAAAGGTGTGCCTGTCTGGTGACATGCAGTGAACACACACRACACCAGTTTGACCTCTTTGTTTGTATGATCCACTAGAAACCTGATCATTCACCTGCCATCTTGTAGCAGAGATRCACAAATAGCCTCCGCTCACACAGCTTTACCTCATGCACATCCTGGAAATCAAGTTGAGAGTYGGAGTGTCGCGACAGTCCAACAAAACCCCCACTAATTCCCACTGTGTGTTTACGGCGTCACCAATTACAGCTAATCTCGTCTTGAGACAACACTGGAAGGAAATGAGGAAACTGTGTCAGAGTGTCAGCACTAACCACATCAGGTGGCTTACCTTAGGGGAGTCTCCGCCAAGGAACCACAGCACGGCAAGACAGTGGGCCAGCAGTGTAGTCTGAGCCGAGTCTTTCCCTGGGTGATTTTGTTCAAAYTCTAACATGGCCTGGGATTTGTGAACTGAAAGAGTCATGGAAAGAATTACAGATCTCTTTTCACACAATACATACATTAAAATAGCAGAAATGTGATTTACATCTATGTGATTTTCTTTGTTTATTTGTATAGCATCCATATGCATTTTTTTTTACCCCCTTTTTGTTAGTAAACATCACATAAAGCCAGTGAATTGGCAATGCCGCTAACAGGCTTTGCATCATATGTAGGGCAGCAGCTGTGATACAGGCAACTAGTGCGGATGCTGCTCAGCCACAGTTGTGTCAGCAGTGGTCTCTAGACAGCCCTAAGCAGTAAATCTGGGGTTTAGCTTTTAGGATGGCTCAGCAAGACAGATCAGCTAAATATAGCGATCTTGACCTTTTTTTTTTTTTTAAGTTTGTCTTAGTCTCATTCATTGGTTGTCTTGTGTGTTTATGGAGTTCTTGGTTGGAGCTGAGACGTGATGCTTGGTGGATGAATGAGGATCTTTTCTGATACTTCAGCATGGTGCACTAAAGACCTGAATAAACTGACAGAATCATGTTAACATGGTTTAATGTGACGCACCATGAAAGGAGTCTGATAAGTTGGCAGGACTTTGGATGTTTGTCATGCAGCTCTTGAAGAGTTTGGTCAGATGACAGTGCCGTGTACGTCCCACCTTTAATATGAGGAAAGGACAGTAAGATAAACTAGAATACATATAAAAAAAAAAAACAAGACAAAGCAACAATCATTTTCAAAGTTAGGATTTAATTTGGAGACTTAGCTGGGGTATATTTGCACATTTTAAAGGGGACCTAATATGCAAAATTCACTTTTTAAAGGTTTTTTTACTCAACTTTGGGTATGTACTTCTTAAAAAAAAAACAGTCCTAGGACCAAAAAATGCACCCAGTGGCATATTTACTGTAAGTAAATGTATTTTTAATGTATATTAACGACAGGTTTTATACTTCTGTCATTTTGTGATGTCACAAGCCGAACGACAACCCACCGGAACCTGCTTTCAGCCCCTTACCTACAGTAGCAACCCCCAGGTGAGGCTCCACCTCCTCAGTATAAAAAGCCGTCACGGTTGTTGTTGTGTAATGCACAGCTTATGTCACAACATGCTTTCCAACAGGGCAATGGGTAGAGTGTTGGACCAGAGAGTGGGAGACCAATGTTCGAGACAGGCACAGACACAATTTAAGTATTTATTTTCATTCGTTATGAACACGTTTTCTCGTGTACCTCTATTGTTTAGCTTATTAAAGCCTTGTTAAAGCCTATTTGTTCGAGTTTCTGAGGTATTTTGACCGCTGCTGCTCCCTGCTCTGGTAACAGCATGCAGAGTGAGCACAGAGCAGAGGAGGAGTAGAAAAAAAAGAAGCTGTGACCACGACTCTGCCTCTGGGTCTCACTCAGGGTCTCTCATACAGTTGTACAACGGAGCTTCTGCTATTATTAGCCATGCTAACGTAAACGCTGGCTTTGGAGGGCGGAGTTAATGTCAACAGATTTTTGGAGGGCGGAGTTAATGTCAACAGATTTTTGGAGGGCGGAGTTAATGTCAACAGATTTTTGGAGGGCATTACCAACAGAGCTCATTAACATAAACAGCTCTTCTGAACGGAARTCAGAGCAGGCAGAACTAGAAAATGGGAAATTTTATTATCTGAGAATTATTTTATGCATTAGATTGAATGAGCATGGTCTGGATAGCCCACAGACATACCATAAAAATTTCTAGGACCCATAATTGGTCTCCTTTAATACTTCTAATAAACTATTTACCCACAGTGTCTATTGCTGCAACAGCTGCTGCTACTTTCTGTTTGACACAATTTACCAAAAACATGCATGTTAGGTTGCCTGCAGACCCAGGCCTCCCATGGAAGGGAGATCTGTAATCTCAATGGGATTTACCTGTTAAAGTTTATAAAATAAAATAATAAATTGAAAAAAAAAACATTTAATCTCTTGTTGCTTTAAAATTTTTCACTCTTAGCCTGGAAATTACAGTCTGCTTTGATTTGTCCACTGATAGAGTGCAGGGTTCCTTTGTTGTTTGTGATCTATCAAACTAGCTCTTTTAAGTAAACATCAAAGTCAAATGTGATTTTTAGCAATGTGAATAAGAACAGGAAAAAAAGGCATTTTTTTGGTTCTTTATGAACCCGATTGTTTTGGGTTTGAAAAACGCCACATTAGGCTTAGTCAACTTAACTTAAAACCCACTTAAAAAGTAAAGGGGGAAAGCATAGTATGTAAACAGGCACACGAGCGATGGCTGTCTTCCCCTGTTTAGCAAACACACCAGCCRAGAGAAAGAAGCTGCAGCAGGTAATTGGACTCTCCAGACCATACTCCTTACTGGCAAAGTCTGCAAAAATTTGAAAAATTTGCTTTTTAACAAGGTATTTGGATTTCATTAAAAAAACTACAACGATTGCCAAAATCCACTAAAAAGCTTTATGAGTCAGAATGAGATCTAAGCTAAGTGTAACTTATTCTTMCAAAGAAAAACATACTGCAAAATAAGATGTTGATGCAAAAACAAGGAATGTGATGGGTAAAGTCTCATTTCAAGTTAGCTAAACTGCATTAACAAGGTTGCAGAAATAACCCATTCAACATAAAGTTTCTCACTTTTGAACCTGACACACGTCTGCTTGGTTTCAACGTATATCATCACCTAAATAAACTGTCAATRATAACATGGAGAATAACAGGAAAAAAGTACATTTTCACAGAACTGTAATAACAGGACCATCTACTTTATACTTTTCAGGAACGAACAAGTCTAGTTTCTGAGTATTGTGAACGAGGTGTTCTCAGAAATGTTTATCCCCCACAACAGATAAGGACTTAAAGGGCCAATATTATGTTTCTCAGGCATACATTTAAATACTTTACCATAATAAAGTATCTACAGTATGTCTCCTTTAGTTGTCATTAAAATGCTGTTTATATGTTTAAATAGAAAATAAACTYATCTTCTCATCACTTCCTCTTATAAACGCCTTGAAATTGGCCTCTGTCTCTTTTAAGAACTACCCTTCTGCTTCCGTTTTGCCCATTTCGGTGCGGGCATCTGAAAATACATTTCCTCAAAGGTATTTTTAATCTGAAAAGAGCTTCACTGAGTGAGAACTAATGTTGAGAGCTCAGCAGACAGTTAGGTTTCACTTTCACCGGAGAGCCTGCAGGAGTCATGGGCGGGGTGTGTGGGGAGGGGGGCTTCTTTTTTCATTAATACAAGTATAAAACAGTTAAAAAGTCCAGATCTAGATGACACCTACGTACATCGTTTGCAAAGTGAAGCTGAGCTGTTTCCAGGTTTCCAGCATTTGTGTGGAAACGGCCCATGCTCCTGTGCAGCTGCTGGTGGACTGACTGAATTCTGGATTCTTCATCAGGGCCAACTCAGCCTGGGATAGCAGCATCCCTACAAGGGCAAGATTACCCAAACCTGCAAGAAAGCCCCAAAAATACACAAATGTTAAAGCATAAAAGGAAAAAGAATGAGTGTGGTTTGGTGCTCATCTCTTTTACCCGTGTTTGGCGTCAGCCAGCATCAAGAAGACGGGKACGAGCTGAACTGAAGGCTGGCCGTGGACGTCGATGGAGATGCGCAGGCAGCGTCTCGTGGTATTTACCCTTAGAATGCTTGCTCTGAGCCACCAGCCTGCAAATGTCAATCAGCTCTGCCTGAAGAAGAAAGAAAAACACAAGGATTCTGTTATCATGCGTATCACCTGGTTTCACTTGAATTTTTATTGCAACATCTGAACATGTTTTCTGGAAGCAGACTGATGAGAGAACGAAGCCAGTGACAAAAACCCTGTAGGAAGTTCTTCAGTTTGAACATCGGCTCAAGCTGWTGGATTGTGTTTAGTCAACAAAAACGTCGACTGCTGTTTTGTTTGTTCTTTCTTTCAGGGCTTATTCTCAAATTACTGGCTGCTCCAAGTCTGAATTTGGCATTTTAAGTCTGAAATTAATTTAACAAAAAAAAAAGAATAAAAC